AAAAAAAACACCTGTATAGCTAAGGCAATTCTTAGTAATAAAAACAAAGCCAGGAGCATCACTATACCAGATTTTAGGCTATTCTACAAAGCCATAATGGTCAAGACAGCATGGTACTGGCAGAAAAATAGAGACATAGACATTTGGAACTGAATAGAAAACCAGGAAATGAAACTAACATCTTACAACCACATAATCTTCGATAAACCAAACAAGAGCATACCTTGGGGGAAAGACTCCCTATTCAATAAATGGTGCTGGGAGAACTGGATATCCACATGTAAAAGACAACTTGACCCACACCTTTCCCCACTCACAAAAATTGATTCCAGATGGATAAAGGACTTCAATTTAATGCATGAAACAATAAAAATCCTCAAAGAAAGTATCGGAAAAACACTGGAAGATATTGGCCTGGGGAAAGACTTCATGAAGAAGACTGCCTTGGCAATTGCAACAACAACAAAAATAAACAAATGGGACTTAATTAAACTGAAAAGCTTCTGTACAGCTAAGAAGACAACAACCAAAGTAAATAGACAACCTATACAATGGGAAAGGATAGTTGCATATTTTGAATCAGACAAAAGCTTGATAACTAGGATCTATAGAGAACTCAAATTAATCCACATGAAAAAAGCCAACAATCCCATATATCAATGGGCAACAGACATGAATAGATCCTTCTACAAAGAAGACAGATGAATAGCAAACAAACATACGAAAAAATGCTCATCATCCCTAATTATTAGAGAAATGTGAATCAAAACCACCCTCAGATACCATTTAACCCCAGTGAGAATGGCCCACAAAAATCTCAAAACTGCAGATGCTGGCATGAATGTGGAGAGAAGGGAACACTTTTACACTGCTGGTGGGACTGCAAACTAATACAACCTTTTTGGAAGGAAGTATGGAGAACCCTCAAAGAACTCAAGGAAAACCTCCCATTTGATCCTGCAATTCCATTACTGGGCATCTACCCAGAAGGGAAAAATCCTTTTATCATAAGGAAGGACACTTGCACTACTAGACTGTTTATTGCAGCTCAATTTACAATTGCCAAAATGTGGAAATACCCTAAATGCCCACCAACCCAGGAATGGATTAACAAGCTGTGGTATATGTATACTATGGAATGCTATTCAGCCATTTTAAAAAATGGAGACTTTACAGCCTTTGTATTAACATAGATGGAAGTAAAACACATTATTCTTAGTAAAGCATTACAAGAATGGAGAAGCATGAATCCTATGTACTCAATTTCGATATGAGGACAATTAATGACAAGGGGAGGGGGTGAGCAGAGAGAGGAATAAGGAGGGAGGAGTGGGGAAGAGATTAGCAGAGAGAGTGACAGAGGGAGGGGGGTGGGGTCTTGGTGTGTGCCACACTTTGAGGGGACAAGACACGACTGTAAGAGGGACTTTACCTAACAAATGCAATCAGTGAAAGCTGGTTTCTTGTACCCTTGATGAATCCCCAACAATAAATTTTTTTAAAAATTGGGAGAATATTTTACGAGGAGGACACCCTGGGCAATTGAAGCAACATCAAAAATACATTACTGGGATCTCATGAAATTAAATAGCTTCTGCACTGCCAAGAATGCACTAAGTAAAGCAAACAGACAGCCCTCAGAATGGGAGAGGATTTTTGCAAGTTATATTTCTGACAAAGGTCTAATAACCAGAATCCACAGATAACTCAAACTAATTACTAAAAAAAAAACAAAAAAACTAAGTGATCCCATTTCATTGTGGGCAAGAGATATGAACAGAAGCTTCTCTGAAGAAGATAGGCGCATGGTCTACAGACACATGAAAAAATGTTCATCATCATTAATCATCAGAGAAATGCAAATCGAAACTACTCTGAGATACCATCTAGCTCCAGTAAGAGTAGCCCAAATCACTAAATCCCAAAACTACAGATGTTGGCGTGGATGTGGAGAAAAGGGAACACTTCTGCAGGGCTGGTGGGAATGCAAGCTAGTATGTTCCTTTTGAAAGGAAGTTTGGAGAACACTCAGGGATCTAAATATAGACCTGCTGTTTGATCCTGCAATTCCTCTTCCAGGTGTATATCCAAAGGATCAAAAATAATTTGGCAATAAAGATATTTGCACCAGATTGTTCATTGCAGCTCAATTCATAATTGCCAAGTCATTGAAGAAGCCCAAGTGCCCATCGACCTATGAATGGATTAATAAATTGTGGTATATGTATACCATGGAATACTAAGCAGCATTTTTAAAAAAATGAAGACTTTACTTCTTTTATGTTTACATGGACAGAGCTGGAAAACATTCTTCTTAGTAAAGTATCTCAGGAATGGGAAAAAATATATCCAATGTACTCAGTACTACTGTGAAACCAATTTATAATCACTCACACAAGCATATGATAAATGAAACACAACTATAGCCTAGGATGAAGGAGGAAAGGGAAGGGTAGAGGGGAAGGGAGGGAGTGGGTTGATAGGGGGAGGGTTGGTATGGAGCTCACACCTATGGAGCATATTGCATAGTACAAGTTGGATCTATCAGGTGTAGAACACAAAGGTCTTAATCCTGTAATTGGGTAAAAGAACTGAAGGCTATGTTGTTTAGTAGGATGTAAGCACTCCAATTTGTACAAATAATCAATACATTGAATCCCGTAATGGCATTAATGTATTTATGATCTATGTACAAATGACTTAAGAAAAAAAAATTAAAATAAATAAATTAATTAAATTAAGTTAAAAATGTAGTAGTGGAAAATACATAAGCAAATTTCCTCATGACCAAGTAGAGCTTAACCCAGAAACAAAAGTTGACCTAATGGCATTATTTACCACAACTAACAGAATAACCAAAGAACAATCATGTGACCATCCCCATAAACGAAAAAGAAAAGCATTTGATAAAAATTCAATATCTAATTATGTTTTTATAAAGCCACAGAAAATCAGAATGGAATTTACTCAATCTTTAAAAATGTATTTGAAAACTTTATAGCTAATATCATGCTTAATAATAAAACACTGACTGGTTTCTCTCTAGGGAAAATTTAGATGAAAATTCTATTACAAGCTGGTAGATACTTGCCAAATTAACTTACCCTCAGCAGAGAACTCATCAATTATTTCTTTAAGAATGCCATCAGTAAAATAAAGTCTATTGGTGTTTTCGAGTACATCTGAATGTTTGTCTTTGTTAAACTGATAACTTTCTTTCATGTGGTCCAATGTATTGATGGCCTCATTCAACGCTGCAAACACAGAATGAATAGTGGAATGAGAGAGTGTACTACACTGATTATTAAACAGTAAATACATAAAAATTAAAGAAATTCCATCTCTAATGAATGAGGGAACCATCAAACCCTCTACTACAGACCTCATTCTCTAACTCAATAAAATGAAGCCAGAAATAAACAACAAATATAGAATAACAATGACATTTAAATTGCTTCACAATTTAAAGTTTTCTCCTAACCAACTTTAAGGTCAAGGAGAAAATCAAAACACACTGGAAATATTTAGAAGATAACAATAATAATATCCCATTGAATCAAAGACCAGCAGAGAAACTTAAGTGTTATAATAGTACCTTAAAAATGAAAGATAATAAAACATTCACTAGCAAACTAAAAAAGAAATACATGTACAAATTTAAGAATGAGAAAATGACCACATATACAAAAACACAAAAGAATGTTAAAGTACATACAACTATCCTAATACTCCAATTTAAAAACCTAAATACAATTTAAAATTTCCTAGGAACATACAAATTACGAAAACTAACAAGATAAGACAGAAAATGGCAAAAATCAATTCACCAAAAACAAAATCAAGAAAAAAATCAATAATAAACTAGAAAAAGTTCAATATATAACATAAAGCATCAAACCCTTAAAATATATAGAGCTATTTAAAAATTTGTGACAGTCAGATTTTAAAATGATCAAAGGACATTCATCATCATATGAAATACATTTTAGCTCACTAGTAACTGAAGTACATTGTAAAAAAATAAAATTTTCAACTATGATAATTTTTAATAAATAATACCCACTATTGCTAAAATTATGAATTTCTACAAACTTTCAGAGGGTAATTAGGTAGTAGTATTAACATTTTAAATCTGAAAACATTTTGACCCAGCAAGACCACTTCTAAATAATTTGTGGTACAGAAAATCTTTGTGGATATGTGAGTGATGATACATGTACAAGGATGTCCAACAAAATGTTTGTAAAAGCAAAAAATTGGAAATAACCCAAATATTCATCAAAAGTATTATGGGTAAAATTATACTATCTTTCCACTTTAGAATGTTATATAATCTTTTAAAAGAATGAGGTAGGCTTATATGATATAATAGAACACAGAAAAATACCCAGATTATACTGTTAATGTTTTTTAAAAGACAAGATATGGAATATTACAGACAAAATAATACAGGTTTTCAATAATAACCAGTTTAATAGCACATCCAAAAAATAATTCACCATGATCAACTGGGCTTCATCCCAGGGAAGCACGGTTAATTCAATATCTGTAAATCAATAAATGTGATTCACCATGTTAAAAACAAACATCATATGGTCATCTCAATAAAGGCTGAAAAAGCATTCAATAAAAATCCAGCACCCTGGCTCGGCGCCTGTGGCTCAAGCGGCTAAGGCGCCAGCCACATACACCTAAGGTGGCAGGTTCGAATCCCCAGCCCGGGCCCGCCAAACAACAATGATGGCTGCAACCAAAAAATGGCCAGGCATTGTGGCGGGTGCCTGTAGTCCCAGCTACTTGGGAGGCTGAGGCAGGAGACTCGCTTGAGCCCAGGAGTTGGAGGTTGCTGTGAGCGTGATACCACAGCACTCTACCCAGGGGGGATAGCTTGAGGCTCCATCTCAAAAAAAAAAAAAAAAATCCAGCACCCTTTCATAATGAATACCCTCAACAAATTAGGCATAAAAGAAACATATGTCAAAATTATAAAAAGCCATACATGATAAACCCACAGCCAACATCATACTGTGTGACGAAAAATTGAAAGCATTCCCCCTAAGAACTGGAACAGGACAAGAGTGCCCTTTGTCACCAATTCTGTTCACCATAGTACTGGAAGCCCAAACAAGAGTAATCAGCCAAAAGAGAAAAATAAAGGTTATCCAAATTAGGAAAGCCAAGGTAAAACTATTGCTTTTACTAATGACATGATCTTGTATCATATCCCATAGATATGATCCCATATCCCTAGAAAATCCCATCATATCCCATAGATAGGATCCCATATCCCTAGAAAATCCCAAAGATGTTTACCAAGAGAATCCTCGAATTGATAAATAAGTTCAGCAAAGTCTGAGGGTACAAAATCAAAGTACACAAATCAGTAGCATTTCCATATACCAACAACAATCAAGCTGAGAGCAAAATCAAACACTCAACACTAATCGCAATAGCTACAGTGAAAATAAAATTCTTAGGAATATACTTCTGTGATCTCTACAAAGAGAAGTACAAAATAATGATGAAAAAATCACAGATGACATGAATAAATGGAAAAACATATCATGCCCATGAATCTGCATGTAGAATCAACATTGTTAAAATGTCCACACTGCCAAAAGTGATTTACAGATTCAGTCCATCCCCCTCAAAATATCAGCATCATTTTTCACACATCTAGAAAAATTAATTCCATCTTTCATTCAGAACCAAAAAGAGCCTGAATAGCCAAAGAACTCTTTAAAAAAAAAATCGAGAGTTATCACATTAACAGACTTCAAATTATACCACAAGGCTATAATAACCAAAACAGCAATGTATTGGTACAATGATAAGCATAGACAAATGGAACAGAATAGAGAACTCAGATATAAAATCATCTACCTACAGCCAACTGATCTTCAACAAAGCAGACAACAATATACACTGAGGAAAAGAAGCCCTATTCAATAAATGGTTCTAGGAAAATTGGATAGCCACATGCAGAAGAAAGAAACAGGACCCCTTTCTCTCACCACCTACAAAAATCAATTCAAGATGGATAAATGACTTAAATATAAGACACAAAACCATAAAAATTATAGAAAAAAATGTAGGAAAAACTCTTCTAGAAACTGGCCTAAGCAAAGAATTTTGAAGAAGATCCCAACAGCAATCAATTACAGCAACAAAAAATAAATAAATGGGACTTGGTTAAATTAAAAATCTTCTGCACAGCAAAGGAAATAATTAACAGAGCAAATAGACAACCTACAAAATGGGAGAAAATATTTGTAAACTATACATCCAGTAAAGAGATAGTATCTGGAATTTACAAATAATTCAAACCAGCAAGATAAAAACAAACCACCCCTTTCAAAAGTGGGTAAAACGCATGAACAAAAGATTTTCAAAAGGTAGACATATGAAGCACAGATATATTTTTTCTGGATCTGTTAATGATGTTAGTATATTAATGGGGATTGCATTGAATATGTAAAACACTTTGGGTAGCATAGACTTTTTTTTTTTTTTGAGACAGAGCAACAAGCTATCCCCCTGGGTAGAGTGCCATGGCATCACAGCTCACAGCAACCTCTACTCCTGGGCTCAAGCAAGTCTCCTGCCTCAGCCTCCCAAGTAGCTGGGACCACAGGGCCCACCACAGCACCAGCTATTTTTTTTTTTTTTGGTTGAAGCCATCATTGTTGTTTTGGCGGCCAGGCTGGATTCGAACCCGCCACCTTAGGTGTATGTGGCTGACGCCTTAGCCACTTGAGCCACAGGTGCAGAGCCTAGACATTTTAACAATGTTGATTCTGCCAATCCATGAACATGATCCAGCTTTTCATTGTTTATATCCTCTTCAATTTCCTTCCTCATTGTTTTGTAGTTTACCCTATATAGGTATTTCACCTCCTTAGCTAAATTTATCCCTAGGTATTTTATCTTCTTTGTTGCTATTGTGAAAGGTATTAAGTCTTTGATTTGATTATCAATTTGACTGTTGACATGTATAAAAGCTACTGGTTTGCATACATTGATTTTATACCCTGAGATTTTGCTGAATTTATCAATTCCAAGAGTCTCTTGATTACTTCTTTGGGATATTCTAAATACAAGATCAGATCATCAGCAAAGAGTAATAGTTTAAACTCGTTCTTTCCCCATTTAGATACACTTGATTTCTTCTCTTGTCTGACTGTTCTAGATAGGATTTCCAGCAGTATGTTGAACAGAACTTATGATAGTGGGCGACCTTGTCTAGTCCCAATTCTAAGTGGGAATGCTTCCAATTTTTCCCCATTCAGTATGATGTTGGCTGTGGGTTTATCATATACGGATTTTGTAATTTTAAGGTATATCCCTTCTATGCCTATTTTGTTAAACATTCTCGTCATGAAGGGATCCTGAATTTTGTCAAATGCTTTTTCTGCATCTATGGAAAGGATTATATGGTCTTGTTTTTGCTTCTATTTATATAGTGAATTACATTTACAGATTTGCATATGTTGAACCATCTTTGTGTCTCTGTGAAGAAGCCCACTTGGTCATGGTGAATTATTTTTTTGATGTGAAGCTGAAATTGGCTGCTAAGATTTTATTGAGAATTTTTCCATCTACACTTATAAAGTATTGTAGTCTGTAGTCTTCATTTCTGCTGCGCCTCTTCCTGCCTTTGGTATCAAGGTGATATTGGCCTCAAGAACAAAGTGGGGAGGATTCCTTCCTACTCCATGTTATGAAATAATTTCTACAGTATAAATATCAATTCCTCTTTTTAGGTTTGGAAAAATTTGAGAGTGACACTGTCTGGTCCAGGAGTGTTTTAAAAGTCCCCAAATAGCCAGTGCAACTTTACACAATAAGAACAAACTGGGAGGTATCTCTCTACCAAACTTTAAGCTAAGGCTATGGTAACCAAAGCAGCATGGTACTGACACAAAAACAGAGACACAGACTGATGGATTGGAACACAGATCCCAGACATTAAGCCATCCTCATAATCTGATCCACAACAAGGGAGACAAGAACATACACTGGGGGAAAGAATCCCTATTCAATAAATGGTGCTGGGAAAACTGGATAGCCACATGTAGAAGACAGGATCCCTATCTGTCATCACTCACAAAAATTAATTCATGATAGATAATAGACTTAAACCTAAGGTATGATGCTATAAGAATTCTAGAACAAAATGTTGGGAAAATTCTTATAGATATCAGCCTAAGCAAAAAATTTATAAAGAAGACCCTAAAAGTAATTATAAAACAACAAAAATAAATAAATGGGATCTGATCAAATTAAAAAGCTTCTCTCCAACCAAGGACCCAATCAACAGAGCAAACAGACAAATCACAGAACAGGAGAAAATATTCACATGCTATACATCCAATAAAGGATCAGAATCTAGAAAGAACTCAGCAAGAAAAAAAAATAAAACAACTCCATTTAAAAGTGGGCAAAAGACATGTACAGAAAATTTTCAAATGAAAATATACCAATGGCCAACAAATATATGAAAAAATGCTCAACATCACTAATCATCAGGGAAATACAAATCATTCACCTAACTCCAGCAAGAATGGTTCTTATCAAAAAGTCCCAAAACAAGACATGCTTGTGTGAATGCAGAGAAAAGGGAATGCTTATACACTGTTGGTGGGACTGAAAACCAGTATGACCCCTATTGAAAACAGTATAGGGGTTTCTCAAAAACTAAAAGTAGACCTGCCATTTGATCCAACAGTCCCACTATTAGGTATCTACCCCCAAGAAAAAGATGTCGTTTTATCAAGAAGATACCTACACTCAAATGTTTACTGCAGCACAATTTATAATTTCAAAGAAGTGGCCCATTAATTCAGGAGCGTACGAACACAAGGTGGTATAAGTTAATATATACTGTGGAGTACTACTCAGACATAAAAAGGAACGAGTTCATGTCTTTTGAAGCAATTTGGATGGAACTGAAGACCACTATCCTAAGTGAAGTATCTCAAGAATAGAAAAACAAATACTACATGTATTCTCTAATAATTTGGAACTAACTGATAGGCATATATGGGCACAGAAAGAAGTAAAAGTTGTTGGAAATCAAAAAAGGGAGAAGAGAGAGTGAGGAAGGGGTAAAAACCTACCTAACAGGTTCAATGAACACTACTCAGGTGATAGGCATACCTATAGCGCTGATTAAAGCATCAGAAAAGCTACCCATGTAACAGAAACATTTGTACCCCCTTAATATTTTGAAGTAAAAAAATTTTTAAAACAATTGTGAAATATTATGGACAAAATAATAGAAATATTATTATATAATATTATATTATTATATTATATATAATATTATTAGATAATAGCTTTCTCTGGAGCTCAGTTTAAAAGTTTTAAATAGTAATTTCAGAATACGCAAGTATTTATAAATGTAAAGAAAAAAATCCCAAATGGATATTTACCAAACATTATCATAAATATTTCCATAGGGTAATATTATAAAAGATTGTGCTTAATATTCCTTACATTTCTGGCCATTTACCTTTTTTATAACATTTTTTAAAAATAGCTATTGATGTATCAAAAAAGTATCTTATTTTAATTATTGGAAGAGATTATAACCTTGTAATTTTTCCAATCTTTTCAACCAAAAATGCACAATTCTTAATTTAAAAATGAAATGTAATTCCCCATAATTAGAAGAGTTCAAGTATAGAAGAATCAAACATTTGGTACAAATACTATAAAGAAGATTTGAACACCAAATTTAGCATCTGATTAGATGAATTTTGAATGAGTTCTGTATTGTTGCCTTCTAACTATTTTACCATAAAGCTCTTACCAATAAAATTAGAAAATTTCTGGGTATCCCTCAAAGCCCTCATACAATCTTTAGCATTCACCATGTTGTCTTCTGTAAGAAAAAGAGAAATAACAAATAAGAACCTCTGAAGAAGATTATATTAAAAGGCTAGTATCAAAAATCAAAATCAACATGCAACTTTTGTATATTTCTTAAACATTTTATTTACAAGGTACTACCTTCTTCTTTTTTTTTTTTTTTTTTCCTAAAAAGACAGGGTCTCACTTTTTCACCCAGGCTAGAGTGTAGTAGCGCAGTCATAACTCACTGCATCCTCAAACTCCTAAGCTCAAGCCATCGTCCCACCTCAGCCTCCTGAGTAATGGGCTATAGGTGCAGGCGCCTGCCACAGTACCTAGCAAATTTTTTAATTATTTGAAGTCTTGCTTCATTGCCCAGTCTGGTCTTGAACTATTGGCCTCAAGCAATCCTTTCACCTTGGCCTCCCAAAAGTGCTAGGATTACAGGCTTAAGCCACCATGCTGCGTCTTAAATGGTACTTTTATCTCCCCTTCTCCCACATATTCCTTTCTCTCACTCCTGGTTCTCTGCTCTTTTCTCTCTCTTTCTCATTTCTTTCCCCCACCTCTATTCCCTTTATCTAGTATAAAGCAAATTTATATTTTTATATCCTAAAAAAAAAGATACTTTTATATTCCTTTCCATCTGTAACCCTACAAGGTTGTATTATAGATATACTAGTTCTCTTTCTCCAGTAATGGAGTTGGATAAAGAAATGCCCAGTAACTTCACTCAGCCAAAGGCAGAAAAGTTAGCATTTCTGCTCATATAACTTGAATTCTTATGCTGTCTTTTATCCACTAAATCAATATATCTGTGAGGAGACAGTATTCCAGTAAGTCACTACACACAAAATTTAGACCACTTGTTAAAAAGTGGTTATAACCACTTATAACATCAAAAAATGAAATTAGAAGAGGAAAAGCTGCTTTTCAAAGATAATATTTATAGCAAGGTAGTAAATACCTATAGATTTTGCACACTATTTTTATAGGTAGTTCAACAACAAAAAAAAATTAAGAGTAATTCTGAAAATGCTTACCTGAAACAAAATTTGATTGAAGAATTTTCTCTGCATCTTCTTTAGGTGACTTAATCCCAACATTTCTCAGAAAATCTTCCAAGTTCTTCTCAGCTATCATGCCACCTTCAACCAAATCAAAAGCTGAGACAATCTCCTGTAACTCTAGAAACAGAAAACATTATGTGACAATTGAACTAAACCTCTGATTAAAAAAAGAAAGTAAGTAAGTAAGTAAAAGTAGCCATCACTAAAGATTTCTGCCAGTGGCAGTTCATGGTTTATTATTACATCCTGAATTGAGAAGAAAAAAATCTCAGAGAGTAATTCAGCCTTCAGAGGATTTTATGGCCAGCAACACAATATGCAAAGAATTCTTGGCCAGTCATGTTTCCCTGGAGCTCACATAAAGTTGGGACAACTAAAATGACTGATATAGCTTAATATTTCACTGTGATTATATAAATTAGTTATTTTGATATGGAGTTTCACTGGTAGCAAATAAAACTAATATATTCTAATATAGGTAAAATAAATTTCAGAATCATGAGAAATGTAAAATATGAGACAAAATTCATAAGGACTCACTCACTTTTACATTTCAATTCTACCAAGACCCAAATGTACCTTAGCTTCTGGAATTTTGCTTCATTTCTATCATTGGCAAAATCATAAAGACCCAAATTCAAATCCTGGCTCCAGTTAGTTGTGACTAATTCTGTGTGACCATGATCAAATTATTACTACCTTAATTCTTCTATAAAGTTTAGTAGTCATATTTCTAAAATGGGATAATAATATCTACCTCAAGGTAAGTAATGTAGATATTAAAAACAAAAATGCAGTAAAAGCACTTAAAGCAGTATTAGACTCAATATTAGCCTCAATAAATGCCATGCACATAGCAGTAAAAATAGTATTATTATCAAAGCCAACAGAAACTATCTACAAATAGTAATCACAGCTTCTTAGTACCTTAGGTCCTACCTAACTTCCTGTTTTCCTAACTTCAATGAGAGGCAGCTGTAGATGGCAATCTGAGCTTTGCCAGTACCCATAAGCCTATATTAAGTTTGTTTCTTTGTCTTAACTAAAACTTCATTTCCTTTAAAAGTATTTCCCATGCACAATTATCTCAAGTAGAATCTGTCCATCCTCCATGCTCCACATACCATAGGACCAGAAAGCAGACTTGCATTTTTCTAGCTTTCTGCTGCTGATGCCAGCTCATTTTAGTTCCACTTTCACGCAAACATAATCCTTCTTCCCTTGAGGGTCAGGCCTGTCATTCAACTATGCCACTCTCATGACACAATTATAGACTACTTTCTGACCATTCCTTCACATTTGCTGAGGATTGGGGCATTTTGATCATAATCTCCATTCTAATACATTATCATCCAATGACAATAAGGATGATCCTAGCCTCAGTGTACTTTGACCTCTTTGACAGGATGGCCTGGCTAATAAACTATCTGACAGAGAAAAATAATCTAACAGCAGGCAAAAAAGAAGAAAACTCAGAGAACATAATTTCCCCCTTCAAAGCGAAAGATCACAACACAAAACATCCTCTTGTTTAATGTTAACCACCTGAGGCTTAACTCACTGTCTTTAAGATAAACCACCTTCAGAGTTCTGTTTTTACAGTGCTAGAAAGAACTGAGCAGACAGAAGGAGAATAATTCTCACTTAACCATATTCCAAGGACCCTGATAAGCCAGCCTCACAGAGAAAAGTGGGGGGGGGGGGGGGGGGAGGAAGAGAGGAGGAAAAAAAGGGAAAAACAGATGCAGCTGTTTTGCTATTACTTGGCAGCAATCATTTTTTTCTTTAAGAATCCCAAATCCCTTATCCTCCCTGCTGGCATTTCTTTTTTTGTGCCAAGCCCTTTCTCTCTAGGGGAAACTAAGATAAACTTTTTACTTCTTTTTATCCTAATCTTTGCATTGAGAATTCTTTCTTACTCTGTGTACAAGTTCCCACACAATACTCTTAACTCCAAAAGCCTTCCCTTACTTTCCAGAGTTATCCACACCAATTTCCCCCCTTAATCCTCACCATTACCTAGAATTGCCTGTTTCAACTCTAAAATTTTAAACTACAAGATCAGATACCAACCATACTCCCTTAAAATTATTATCTGATATATTATTCGTATATATCAAACGAATGCACAGAAATTTATTTATACTATATCTATTCTCTTAGCTCCTCCAAGTTCTCCAACAAATAGTCTAGAGCCAGCTTTACAAATTAACAATGGAGAGAACATTCCAAAAGCCAAGTTCCTACATGCCAGCCAACCTTTAATCAAAACCAAGTTATGCCTGCCTATAAGCAAATTAATGCCCACCTGTTAATCAAAAATTAGTAAAACCAAAAACACTTTAAAAAAAACAAAAGCCCATTCAACAAAAGTAAATTTAATAGTCACACATAATCTAGTACTTACCTTCTAACCTGGAAGCATCACACATATTCTTTACCACTTTTGCAAATTCTTCAAACTGTACTGTGTCACCATCTACAAGAAATTATTTTTAATAGATCAGCTTCAATAAGCAAAACTCAGGTCTAATTAAGCAATCTATAAAAATGTAAATCACTTGATATATTCATAACCATCATATTTCCTTTTTACATTTTTGAGTAACCAAAAGATTAATTTTATGGATAAAACCTTAAGACTATATAAGTCAAACTGAGTTATTATTATCCATAAATTAACAGAATCTGTACAATATATATTCCTAAAATATAAAACTAATATATATTCCTAGATAAAACTAAGAGACAAACTTTAGTCTTAATTTAGTCCTTCAATTGTTTGGAGATAAAAATTCTGTAGAAAACTTTTAAGACTTTTTTCAGTGCCTGATAGTTTTATGGCTATAATTTCTTACCCAAGAACATATAAGTACTATATTACAAAGTCAAAGTGACAAATACAGGAGACAAAATTAGCTTTGTTTTCCTAGTCAGGAACAGGGAAGCTTAGTTCAAGGATTTAGAATTAAATCCTTAGTTTATGATAAACTGGAACAAAGCACAGCCAGCAAGGTATTTCACCAGCAGATAAAAACCAGTATAGAGTTTAACTATATATCTACAACTAATGATTTCTTTTTTTTTTTTTTTTTTTTTTTTTGAGATGGAGCCTCAAGCTATCCCCCTGGGTAGAGTGCCATGGCATCACGCTCACAGCAACCTCCAACTCCTGGGCTCAAGCGAGTCTCCTGCCTCCGCCTCCCAAGTAGCTGGGACCACAGGTGCCTGCCACAACACCCGGCTATTTTTTGGTTGCAGCCATCATTGTTGTTTGGCGGGTCCGGGCTGGGGATTCGAACCCGCCACCTTGGGTGTACATGGCTGGTGCCTTAGCCGGTTGAGCCACAGGCGCCGAGCCACAACTAATGATTTCTTATCTTCTATCTAGTTTGACTTTTAAATGAACACTTGAATTTTTAGGAACTATATATCAAAGGGACATGTCTTCACTGTAACATTTTTCCTACTTCTGTCTTTCAGTAGGCCCTTATCTATCCCTTGCAATAAAGGCTCTGCCCCTGAATCCATCAGTTATCTCTTTGATGGGGAAAAAAAAAAAGAGAAGGAAGAGAAAGGGTTGTGTATTTCCATGCTTCTTTTACTCCCTTTTATTTTGGATAGCTTTCCAACAGCCTCACATCAATCCACAAAGCTGATTAAGTCTTCTAGGACCAAGTTACATAAAGACTTACTAAATTGAATGTCTTCAATTTATAGCAGCTTAAAGATCACCGTAAAGAAACAGATACTGTAACTCAGTCACCTAAATGGAGCACCCCCTGAATCTACATAAATATAATCAAGTACAACTAAATCACAACTATTTAGACTTCAGGAAGGAAGGGCGAGAGAGAGGGAGGGGGAATGAAGGTGGAGAAAGGGAGGAAAGAGAAAAGAAAAAGAAAAGAGAAAGCAAGCTAGCAAGCGAAGGAAACAGAGCCATCTGAGGTCAATAGGTATAGTGGAACATAATCTAACAAAATTTGCAGCTAGCTTTGGACTCATTTACTAAGAGACCCAAATCTCTGAACATAACCTGTGATCCCCTGTTTGATCCTTAGGTTTTAACATCTTACTGAAATAGAATAGCTACTATCAATATTAGGAATGATTCCCTGGGCACCTTTAAACAAATCCTATGAAAAGATATGTGGATGGATAGAGATGCTATCAAGTATTTGGGGCCCAAATATTCTTTGCTAAACCAAAGCAAGGTTAATCACAGCTGGTGCTAGTTTTCAAAGTTAGAGCCTGAAACTAAGATTCAGATCTGTCTTGAACAGACATTGCATGAAAGAAGATGATGAAATTTAGAGTTGGTTGCCAAGCCCTGACTTCCCCCTTAAAACAGTTATTAAGCTAAGTCATACCACACATCAGACACAGGAGTCTGGAGAAAAAGAGCACATATCAGTTTAACTTCAAAAATCTAAATATCCAGCGTACTAAGTACTACTATAAAACCAATTTATAGGCCTATATCAAGCTCTGAAATAGCATCAACTATACAAAATCTCCCTAAAAAGAAAAGCCCAGGACCAGATGGCTTCACATCAGAATTCTACCAAACTTTTAAAGAGGAACTAATACCTATATTACTTAACCTTATCCAAAATATAGAAAAAGACGGACTACTACCCAACACATTCTATGAAGCAAACATCACCTTGATCCCCAAACAAGGAAAAGACCCAATAAGAAAGGAAAATTATAGACCAATATCACTAATGAATATTGATACAAAAATATTTAATAGAACCTAACAAACAGAATCCAGCAACACATCAAACAAATTATACACCATGACCAAGTGGGTTTTATCCCAGGATCTCAAGGCTGGTTCAACATATGTAAATCTATAAATGTAATTCACCACATAAACAAATTAAAAAACAAAGACCATATGATCCTCTCAATTGATGCAGAAAAAGCTTTCAATAATATCCAGCATCCATTCATGATTAGAACACTTAAGAGAAATGGCATAGAAGGGACTTTTCTCAAATTGATAGAGGCCATCTACAGTAAACCCACAGCCAATATTGTATTGAATGGAATTAAATTGAAATCATTTTCACTCAGATCAGGAACCAGGCAAGGTTGCCCATTGTCCCTATTGCTCTTTAACATTGTAATGGAAGTTTTAGCCATTGCAATTAGGGAAGAAAAGGCAATCAAGGGTATTGCCTTTTACTCTTCACAGATGATATGATTGTATACCTGGAAAATAGCAGGGATTCTACTACTAAACTCTAGAAGTGATCAAGGAATACAGCAGCATCTCAGGTTACAAAATCAACACCCATAAGTTGGTAGCCTTTATATATACCAACAACAGTCTAGCTGAAAAAATAGTCAAGAACTCTATTCCATTCACAGTAGTGCCAAAGAAGATGAAATATTTGGGAGCTTACCTAACAAAGGATGTGAAAGATCTCTATAAAGAGAACTATGAAAATGTCTATACTACCTAAAGCAATATATAATTTTAATGTAATTCCTATTAAAGTTCCATTGTCATACTTTAAAGATCTCAAAAAATAATACTTCGTTTTATATGGAATCAGAAAAAAACTCGAATAGTCAAGACATTACTCAGAAACAAAAACAAAGCAGGAGGAATCACACTACCAGACATCAGACTATACTATAAATCCACAGTGATCGAAAAAGCATGGTATTGGCACAAAAACAGAGAGGTAGATGTATGGAACAGAATAGAGAATCAAAAGATGAACCCAGCTACTTACTGCTGTATGATCTTTGACAAGCCAATTAAAAACATTGAGTGGGGAAAAGATTCCCTATTTAACAAACGGTGCTGGACGAACTGGCTGGCAACCTGCTGAAGACTGAAACTGGACCCACATCTGTCACCATTAACTAAGATAGACTTTCATTGGATTAAAGATTTAAATTTAAGACATTTCAAATTGTATATGGAAACAACACACTGTACCCCATGATGGTAGTAATGTGCACAACTATGATTTAATTAAAAAAAACAATTTATAATCACTCACACTTTCATACAAGAGATAAATCACAACTATAGCCCAGGATGAAGGAGGGAAGGGGTCAGGGATGGGAAGGGGTGGGGGGTGGTCTGATAGAGGGAGGGTTAATGGTGGAACCACACCTATGGAGCATATTGCAAGGGTACAAGTCAAATCTATCAAGTATTGAACACAAATGTCTTAACACTATGATTAAGTAAATGAGGTGAAAGCTATGCTAAAAAATATCTAAAATATGTAAAACTGGAGAAATCATAAGCAGAAAAGAGAATGCTGCAGGCCTTAAATGCCTACTGACACTTATTAATAATTTCTTCCATCTAATTCCTAGCCTATGGATTCAGTATTTCACAGTCTTCTTGACTATTTTCCATACCATCTTGATAGTTTTGCTCAAACCCAACTTTCTTCATTCAGAAGAAACAAGAGAACTCAAAAGCTATATAACTAGATATTTGGGGAGTATTTCTGAATTTGCTAAATGGTAAATACCTTTCCTGTTTTTAATGCTTTTTATAACCATCACAAAATTATTTTCTAAATTTTATATATATTTAGAAATATTAAGGAGTCAGTATGGAATGCTACCAGTAACCAAGAGCTCACTCTTCAATTTCACTAATTAGAGAATCTGCATTAGTTGTTTGGAGGAGTTTGGTGGGGGAGGTTTTTTTGTTTTTGAGACAGGGTCTCTCTCACTACAGCTATATCATCCAGGCTGGTCTCATACTCCTGGCCTCAAGGGATTCTCCCAGCTCAGCCTCCCAAGAAGCAGGGAATTATATGCATGAGCCACTACCTTCAGCTCTTTCTTTCCTTTCTAACATATCCCAGTCAAAAGAATACCCTAGATTAGTAATTCTTAAAGTTCTTTCTCCTATTTCTCAGGTTCTGTTGAGATGTTTCATCAGTTTATTTGGTCATTTCCCCCGCTTTGGTCACTGAAACTCTTATGTTTTATATTTTAGGATATTGCACAAAATTTCAATTATAAAAATGATTCTACTGCTTTAACAATATCAAATAATGGCTCAGCGCCTGTAGCCACATACACCGGAGCTGGTGGGTTCGAATCCAGCCTGGGCCTGCCAAACAACAATGACAACTGCAACAAAAAAATAGCTGGGTGTTGTGGTGGGTGCCTGCAGTTCCAACTACTTGGAAGGCTGAGGCAAGAGATTCGCTTAAGCCCAAGAGTTTGAGGTTGCTGTGAGCTGTGATGCCATAGCACTCTACACAAGGCGACAGCTTGAGACTATCTCAAAACAAACAAACAAAAAAAAATATATATCAAACAAAAATCCAAAAATTACTAAATTTCAAAACTTTGAAAACCATTGCATTGAATTAAGAACTAAGTATCTTTGTACTAAAGATACAGCATTAAAAGAAGAAATGATATAAGAAATGGGGTTCACACATAGTGTTCATTATTATGTATATATTAGGATTTAAATAGTAAAATAATTTTCTGCATTTTGCATTGTCTTTTGCTTCATCAGTATATAATAATAAATCAAATATAATACATTGGTTTTTTATTATCACATATTTACTTTTATAGATAGCTTGGGACAGGCATCCTCAAACTATGGCCTGCGGGCCACATGCAGCCCACCTAGGACATTTATCCGGCCCACAGGGTTTTTTTGCCACCACTGCCTGTCCTGCTTAGCAGCCGACTCGTCCCAGGGCCCGCTGTCCGGCCCTCCAATGATTTGAGGGACAGTGAACTAGCCCTCTGTTTAAAAAGCTTGAGGACCCCTGGCTTGGGATCTAGTTATTTTTGTATCTCATAAAATAATACTTTGTTGGTCTGATTAAGATAAATGCTGTCTATTGCTTTTTCTGTTACTTATTGCCTACAATTTCTATTCCCTCTAAAACAAACAAACAAACAAAAAAAAACCCTGAAGTATTGCCATGGAAAAAAAGAGAGGGAAAACCCGTATTAACAAGTAGTACGGGGGGGGGGGGGCACCTGCAGCTCAAAGGAGTAGGGTGCCAGCCCAATATGCTGGAGGTGGCAGGTTCAAACCCAGCCCCGGCCAAAAATTAAAAAAAAAAAATAAAACAAGTAGTACATATTCCTCTTTTTTCAACTCTTTCCACCGCAAATATCCAAATAAAATAATTGATATACTGTAAAGTCCAAATGACTAGCCTCAATTAAACAGAAAATTAATGATGAAAAAGGGTAAATACAACCACAGAAAAAGACAGCTTATTGACAAAGACCCCTGCTCATGACGTCCTGCTCATGTTACTAAACTAGTTTTCTATAAACGTTCCACATGAAAGACCATAAAAATACATTTGTAACTTCTAGGTACTAAGAATATAAAGGAATAGAAATGTTCAACTGTGGTCTATGTATTCTTTTATCCATCTGCATGCAGAATGCCAGTAGTAAATGATGGAATTTTGCTTTAAAACTTTTAGTACATAGTCTTGGTTCTACAATACTTCTGTAGACTTTGTTTTTGTTTCATTTAATTGTTTTAATTTGCTGACTAAATAGAGGTGATGGCTACCAGCAGGTGTATTTTCCTACCAAGTTAAATAAAAGCTATGTCAACAAAAGAGTATAAATATCCCAAGTAGTGCTATTATAAAATTTGAATAGATTTGTAACATTTCCTAATCACCCACTCTGTGTTCATTCAGATACATCATTTTCGGGCAGCACACTATACAACTTGAAAGTCCTCAATGTATATTTGATCAATTTAGAGTACTAATAAATTAGGTATCTATATTTTACATAGAACAACCAGTCTGAACTTTCTTTATACAGTATTTCCTAAATGCATATATTGGCATTTCAACCACGTTGAAATACTCTACCTAACCAAATTCAAGATACAAGTAAATGAGAGTTGACAGATGATAAAATCATATCTTTGTATACCTTTTAATTTTAGTATTTTGAATACTCACCATCAACTGTCAGTTGGTTTAATGCTGCTAGAAATTCATCTTTCTTTAAATTACTATTCAAACTAGAGAGAGTATTCCACAGGTCAGGAACTCTTATCCTCTCCTTGCCGAGATTGTTGAGGTTTTCAATAGCATCAGATAATACTAAAGGATGGATAAAACACAAGTTTTATGACATGCTTTACCAAGAAGTTAAAATAGTAAATTATTACCTGAAAGAGTCAAGAATTAAAATTGTTGTGGTTTAAAAAAAATTAAGGAATACAGCATAAATGAATTGCCCATTTTCAAATATCCAATCAGAAAATATTTAATTCCCAATTTCATATATATTTGAGGATTTTGAAATATTTTAAGAACTTATTTTTCCCCAACCATGAATAATCATTGTAAAGAATAACTTTGATTGAGCTTTGAGGGGGGGCATTACTCCCCACTAGGGATGGTGAAAAACCTAACTGAGCTATAGATTTTTAAAAATCTGAATTAAAGGCTCAGCGCCTGTGGCTCAAGTGGCTAAGGCACCAGCCACATACACCTAAGGTGGTGGGTTTGAATCCAGCCTGGGCCCACCAAACGACAATGACGGCTGCAACCAAAAAATAGCAGGGCATTGTGGCGGACGCATGTGGTCCCAGCTACTCGGGAGGCTGAGGCAGGAGACTCGCTTGAGCCCAGGAGTTGGAGGTTGCTGTGAGCTGTGATACCACAGCACTCTACCCAGGGGGATAGCTTGAGGCTTTGTCTCAAAAAAAAATCTGAATTCAAGGCCAGGCATGGTGTCTCATGCCTTTAATCCTAACACTCTGGGAGGCAGAGGTAGTTAGATTGCCTGAGCTCACAGGTTCAAGAAAAGCCCGAGCAAGAGCAAGACCACATCTCTAAAAATAGCCGGGCATTATAGCAGGCACCTGTAGTCCCAGCTACTTGGGAGGCTGAGACAAGAGAATCACTTGAGCCCAGGAGTTTGAGGTTTCTGTGAGGTATAATGCCATAGCACTCTACCAGGGGCGACAAAAAAAATTAGAATTCATAAACATTTCCAGTTGATAAAACAATGAAATAAATAGCTTTTGCTCTATGTTTCTCTCCAAAACTTTTCTCTGGTTCCTACTTCCTCTATCACTACAGACAATGGAAAGAAGTTTTATTTTTATTAAAATTTCACTAGGAAACCTCCAGAGGAGTTTAAACAGGGGAGTGAAATTATCCCACTAGAAATTTAAGGTCACTCTGCTGCTATAAAATCTGCATTCTCTGCCAGGTACAGTGGCTCATGTCTGTAATTTAAGGTCACTCTGCTGCTATATATAGAATGGACTCTCCAGGTGATTAGAAATGAAGCTACCTTAGTAGTTCAGAAAAAAAGATGACAGTGGTTTCAGCAAGGGTGACAATGACATAGATAATAAGAAGTGGAAAAATTCAAGTTATATTTTGTGAATGAAGCTGAGAATATTTAGTGATAAATTGAATGGGAAGCTGAGGAGGCTGGAACCATCAGGAACTCCTAGGTTGGAGGCCTGAGCATCTGGGTAAATAGTGGTATCAAAGACCAAAGGAAGAACAAATTCATTGGAAGAGAACACATTAAGTTTGAGATGAATTGGGAGTCAAAAGGATATAGATATTATTTAGAAAAATAAGATCACTCTAAAGAGCCTTAATTAGAGAATGAGACTCTCAGAATGAAGTCGGGGATCATGCTAATGTTTAAAAGTCAGGCATAAAAGAAGCAGCAAACAAGCAAGACCAAAATGAAAGGGCCAATAAAGTGTCAGGGAAATTAAGAAAATCTCCAATGATAATCTAAATTCCAAAGTCACCATGTGTGAGTATCAGGTTTCAAATCAAACAATTCACATAATACATAAATTCTAATTCACAAACTAACATAAAAATGACAAGCTAATTATCCTTACAGGAAAATAATTAAACTGGATCCAATTTCACCTGATAACATTAAAAACAATCCCAGGTGAATTAAAGTCTTACCTATGAAAATAAAAACTTTAAACTCTTAGAAGGGAACATTGAGAACTATCTTAATGTCCTGAAAATTGATACAGGCTTCTGTTTTCTACATAAAAACAAAGTTATCTGTTAAATGTGAGAAGGGTAAGGGTTGAGGTAGGATTGGAAGTTTGAGAGAATGGAGATTTTATTTTGTTTCATTTTATTTATTTATTTGAGACAGAGTCTTTCTTTGTTGCCCCGGGTAGAGTGCCATGGCATCATAGTTCAAAGCAATCTCAAACTCTTGGGCTCAAGTGATCCTCTTGCCTTCAGCCTCTGGAATAGCTGAGACTACAGGCGCCTGCCTATTTTTTAGAGACCAGCTCACTCTTGCTCAGGCTGGTCTTGAACTCCTCAGCTCAGGCAATCCACCCACTTTGGCCTTCCCGAGTGCTAGGATTACAGACATGAGCCACTGTACCTGGCAGAGAATGCAGATTTTAAATAGCTATTTTAGAGAGAGGGAGAATGAGCTAACTGGCAAAACCTCTCATAATTCTTGCGTAGTGTTGAGGGCCAGTGGACATTGATGACCAAGATTTTATAGTAATATTCTATACAATCTATTTGACTGCATGATTTTCTCCAGAAATCCTGTCAGCCACACGAAGAAAGCAGGTAATTGGGTTCATCTAGTGTTGGGAGTTTTGTCAGACAGTACAAGAAATATAGAGAGGCAATACAGTTTAGGCTATTAGGTATATATGATCAGAGAATTCAAACTGAATAAGGAGGAAAAATGAAAACAGGAGGAGACTGATAGACAAGGAGAAAATAGAAGGGTAAATGAATGGAAGGTCCCAATGAGGTATTTAGAACCAATAAAGAAGACATGCTGTAAGCAGCACGATAAAAAGAAAAAGAAGTAAACATAAACATACAATATTAAAATCAGAAAAATATAACTACACATATGAATAAGATAATATACTATACAAAAATATTATCTGTGCTAATAAAATTTTAACTGACATAAAATTGAAATTCCTAGGAAACTGAAGTAACTGACAAATATATTTTCCTCATCTTTATCTTATATAGAAGGCAAATTAAATCAATTTATATTGTAAGGTGAAAATAGCCATTACTTCAAAATCCACCATTACCCAATATGTAAGCACAAAATAACACATGCTACTTTTAGCCCTGGTTTTTTTTGTTTTGTTTTGTTTTTTTGAGACAGAGCCTCAAGCTATCCCCCTGGGTAGAGTGCCATGGCATCACGCTCACAGCAACCTCCAACTCCTGGGCTCAAGCGAGTCTCCTGCCTCAGCCTCCCAAGTAGCTGGGACTACAGGCGCCCGCCACAGCACCTGGCCATTTTTTGGTTGCAGCCATCATTGTTGTTTGGCGGGCCCGGGCTGGGTATTCGAACCCGCCATCTTAGGTGTATGTGGCTGGCACCTTAGCCACTTGAGCCACAGGCGCCGGGCCTTAGCCCTGGTTTTTAAAGTATATACTAACTTTGCGCTATTAAAAATATACAAATACAACTTTACACTTTTTTTCTTAATTTTTTATTTGTAATTATTATGGATACATAGTATTTGTATATCTTTATAGGGTACATGTGATGTTTTGATACAGGCATACAATGTGAGTTATTCACATCAGAGTGACTGGGGTATCCACCACCTCCTGTATTTAACACTTCTTTGTGGTAATTACATTCCAATTTTACTCATTTACATTTCTTTATGGTGAGTTGCTTAGTGGCAAAAACTATTTCATATTACACATTTACAGCTTAACATAGGCCTGGCACATATTTACTGCTCATAAATATTATTGAATAAATTGGAAGATGGAAAGAAATGCAAAGAGCTATAACCAAAAATTTTGCAGAGTTGGATAAACATTAACTTTCCCAAAGTGAAAAGACATTTTAAATCTTCCCCCAAAATGAACCTTATATAAACAGGTCTATAGCTCTGTAAGCATGCACATGAAAAACAAAATTACGGTAGCCTTCAATTCACATGCATTACAAGTTATTATAGAATTAGAGGTTAGTAATAGAGAAAATTAAGACCAAACATAGCAGCTAGAAGCCAGGTATTTATTTGCCTGATGACCTATATGTAGGATGACTACCTCCATAAGATACTCTTCTAAAATCTGTCAAACTATTTGGTCCACAAAAACCACAGACATGATGTTCTTACATACATAATTTTTCAGAGAAGCGTTCTGTGTCTCTCATCATAGTACCAATGAATTCTTTAAAATTCACTTTTTTCTTTCCTAAAGGAAAAAGAAACATTTCCTTAAGTGTCTTTAAGTATTAAAAATATTATAACAAATATTGAATTATATAAAATAAGTTATATATTCAGGGAAATATAATTATATCCATCAGGTAATACTAACCACTAAAAACATATGGATATGAAGTGAAAAAAAAATTCAATTTACAGTCAAAAATAACCTTGAAAAACTCCAAGAAAACTGATAAAAATCCTTGTCCTTCACAACTATACAATATCTTTAACTTTCAGTGTATATTATCTTGTCTTGTCTTTGCAACACTCATTAAGATGCTGGGGTCATATTAGTGCATTATTTTACAGATTAAAAATAACATTTACATGTGATAACACTATTCCTCCCAAGGTTACAGAGTAAGTGCAAGATCAAGAATTAAAATCAATGTCTTTTGATTAATATCGTCTTCCACATCAGGCTACCAATTAAATGTATATCTTTACTCAAGTACATTACTGAAGTCATTTAATATATTTTTTGAATTTTTTTTTTTTTGCCATTTTTGGCCGGGGCCGGGTTTGAATGCACCACCTCCAGTATATGGGGCTGGCACCCTACTCCTTTAAGCCATAGGCACCACCCTATTTTTTCAATTTTTTGAATTTTTTTTTATTTTTTCAAATTAATACAAGGGTACAATTTTTAGATTACATTGTTCTCATTTCCAGTAAAGTTCCATTTGCAGAAGAGCCCCTCACCCAGGGAGCATGTTATACACTCTCTTGATGTGCACATTAGGTGAGATCCCGCCTCATGCCTTCCTTCTGTCTGACAAACATCCTCCCTCCTTCCTCCTCCCGCTTCTCTCTACCCCTGAACTGGACTATATTAGTGTTTTATTGTTCTTATGAGCATGTAATTGTTTATATATTAATTTCATATTAGTATGGAGTACATTGGATACTTATTTTTCCATTATTGTGATACTTTACTAAGAAGTATGTATTTCAACTCCATCCAGGTAAATGTAAAAGATGTAAAGTCTCCATAAAGCCATTTAATATTGTAATAGTAATCTTATACATATAAAGTGTCTTTCCTTGATTGTATATAATTCTTCATTAATTCTTCATAATATCCAATGTTAGAATAAATTTTTAAAATTCTAAGCATTTTCAGCTCGGCACCTGTAGTTCAGTGAGAAGGGCACCAGCCACATACACTGAGGCTGGCAGATTGGAACCCAGCCCGGGCCAGCTAAACAACGACAACTGCAGCCAAAAAATCACCAGGCTTTGCTGCGGGTGCCTGTAGTCCCAGCTACTTGAGAGGCTGAGGCAGGAGAATTGCTTAAGTCCAAGATTTGGAGGTTGCCGTGAGCTGTGATATCCAAGCACTCTACTGAGAATGACATAGTAAGACTTAGTCTCAAAAAAAAAAAAAAATTCTAAGAATAATCTAAGGCCATACATAAAGATTTTATATAGATATACTGAGCTTTTGATGACTCTAGTCCTTTGTTTACCCAAGTAACAAAACAAAAATTCTTTTTTTTGTTGTTGTTGAGACAGTCTCACTTTATTGCCCTTGGTAGAGTGCCATGGTGTCACAGCTCACAGCAACCTCCAACTCCTGAACTTAGGTGATTCTCTTACCTCAGCCTCCTGAGTAGCTGGGACTACAGGAGCCCACCACAACATCTGGCTATTTTGTTGTTGTTGTTGTTGAAGTTTGGCCGGGACTGGGTTCGAACCCACCCTCTCAGTATATGAGGCCAGCTCCCTACCCACTGAGTACAGACACCGCCTCCCATGAAACAAAAATTCTAATATTTCTAATGCAACTGTAAAAGATAAGGCACAACCTATTCTCTATTCCAAAGATTAAATATATTTGAGAAGATTACTTCAAGGAGTACAAAATTACCCTGAATTCTTAACCAAATTTTTAGAAATTAAAAAAAAAAATGCAACCTTGGAAAAACTCTGAGGAAATGCTGAAGTTAATCAAGATTTACATTACCTATGAGGGACATGTAACTTTCTTTTTATTGTTTCAAAATATTACATGAGGTACAAATGTTTTTGTTATGTGGATACAATGTATAATGCTGAAGTCAGGGCTTTCAGAGTGCCTACAACCAGGAAAGTGTTCATTGTACCAGACAGGTAAATTTTAATCCCTTACCATCCTCCCCTGCTTAGTTTCCAAAGTCTTTTACATCTCTTTCTGCCCATATATACCCATCATTAGTTCCCACATATTATCAGTGACAACACGTGGTGTTTATTTTTCCACCCCTGAGATACTTCACTTAGGATAATGGACTCACAGTTCCATCCAAGTTGCTGCAAAAGACATTATTTCATTCCTTTTTATGGCTAAGTAGTACTCCATAGTGTATGCATATGTGTGTATGTATGTGTATGTGTATTCACATTTTCTTTATCCACTCATGAATTGGTGGGCACTTAGGTTGATTCCACATCTTTTGCAATTATGAATTGTGCTGTGACAAACTTTTGAGTTCAGGTGACTTTTTTATAAAAGTATTTTTTTCCCACTGTGTAAGTACCCAGGAATAGGGATGGACTGCTGGGTCAAATTGTAGGTCTACTTTTAGTTCTTAAGAGGAATTTCCACAGTCTTCCATAGAGGTTGTACTAATTTGCGATTTCACCAACAGTGTGTAAGCATTCCTTTATCTCTGCATCCATGCTGGCATCAGTTGTTGTTTTAACTCTTTAATATTGGCCATTCTGACAGGAGTAAGGTGATATCAAATTGTGGTTTTAATTTGCACTTCTCCAGTGTGATTAGTGATATTCAACATATTCTCTTATGTTTGTTGGCCATTATCTGTATTCTTTTGAAAAAAATCTGTTCATGTCTTATACCCACTTTTTAAGGGGGTCATTTATTTTCTTCTTGCTGATTTGAGGTCTTTGTAGCATCTGGATTTTAGTCCTTTGTTGGAGATATTATTTGCGAATATTTTCTCCCATTTTGCCTCCTCTGTTTATAATTTCCTTTGCTGTGCAGAAGCCTTCTAATTTAATCAAGTCCCACTGATTTTTGTTTTTGCTATATTTACATTTAGGGTCTTACTCAAATATTCGTGGCCTAGGCCTATGTTGAGAAGAGTTTCCTGTTTTGTTCCAGAATCTTTATGATTTCATGCCTTTAGGTCTTTAATTCACCTTAAATTATTATCTGTATATGGCAAGAGATAGAGTTTCTGCTTCATTCTTGTACATGTGGCTATCCAATTATCCCAGCATCATTTATTGAAAAGGACCTTTCCCTAGTGTATTTTTTTCTTTTTTTGAGACAGAGCCTCAAGCTGTCACACTGAGTAGAGTGCAGTGGCATCACAGCTCACAGCAACCTTCAACTCCTGGGCTCAAGTGTTTCTCCTGCCTCCACCTCCCAAGTAGCTGGGACTACAGGCGCCTGCCACAACGCCTGCCTGTTTTTTTGTTGCAGCCATCATTGTTGTTTGGTGGGTCCAGGCTGGATTTGAACCCACCAACTCAGGTGTATTTGGCAGGTGCCTTAGCCACTTGAGCCACAGGCACCGAGCCCCAAGTGTATGTTTTTATCTGCTTTGTCAAATATTGGCAGGTCATAGCTATGTGGTTTTATATCTAGATTCTCTACTCTGTTCCATTGGTCTATTTCTCTACTTTTATATCAGTACCATACTGCTTTGATTACTATATTCTTGCAGTATAATTGGAACTCAGGGCATATTATGCCTCCAGATTTGTTCTTTTTGCTAAAAATTGCTTTGGTTTAGGATTATTTTTCTAGGTCTGTGAAATAAGATGTTAGTATTTTGATGAGAATTGTGTTGAATCTGTAAATCACTTTGGGCAATGTGGACTTTTTAACAATGTTCATTCTACCAACCCACAAACATGGGATGTTTTTCCATTTGTTTTGTGTCATTTATGATTTCTTTCATCAGTGTTTTGCAGTTCTCCTTGTAGAAATCTTTCATTTCCTTGGTCAAGTGTAATTCTATGTATTTTATTTTCTTTGTAGCTTTTGTAGATGATATTAAGTCCTTGATTTGACTCTCAGCTTGACTGTTATTAGAAATGCTACTGATTTGTGTATATTAAGTGTATAACCTGAGACTTTGCAGAATTTATTTATGAATTCTGGGAGTCTTTTGGTAGATTCTCTAAAGTTGTCTAGATACCATATCATACTGTCCACAAAAAAGGATAGTTTGACTTCTTTCCCAATTCAGATGGCCTTTATTTCTTTCTCTTGCTGCCTGATTTAGCAAGAACTTTCAGTACTCCATTGAATGGAAACAGTGAAAGTGAGCACACTTGTCTTATTCCAGTTATTAAGGGGAGTGCTTTCAACATTTCCCCAATCGGTATAATGTTGGCTATGGGTTTGTCACATATTGCTTTCATTATTTTGAGGTATGATCCCTCTAAAGTCTGATTTGTTGAGGGTTTTTATCATAAAAGAGTGCTGGATTTTATCAAATGCTTGTCCAGCATTCACTGAGATGATCATGTGGTCTGGGTTTTTGCTTCTATTTATGTTGGTGAATCACATTTATAATTTGTGTGTGTGTGTGTGTATATGTGTGTGTGTGTGTATATATATGTATATATGTATATTTTTTTGAGAGAGAGAGAGAGTTTCACTTTGTCCCCTATAGAATGCCATGGCATCATTGCTTACAGCAACTTCAAAGTGGTCTCAAGTAATTCTCTTGCCTCAGCCTCTTGAGTAGCTGTGACTACAGGTGCCTGCCACAACACCTGGCTATTTTTAGAGACAGGGTTTTGCTCTTGCTCAGGCTGGTCACAAACCCATGAGCTCAAGCAATCCACTTGCCTTGGCCTCCCAGAGTGCTAGGATTATAGGTATGAGACACCGCATCTGGCCTTAATTTGTATATTTTAAAGGATCCCTGCGTCCCTGGGAAGAAACCCACTTGATCATGGTTCATTATCTTTTTGATGTGCTGTTGAATTCAGTTTGCTAATATTTGTTGAGGATTTTTGCATCTATGTGCCTATGGATATGGGTCTGTAGTTCTGTAGTTTTATTTATTTTCATTTATTTATTTTTTTGAGACACAGTCATGCTCTGTTACCCAGGCTAGAATGAGTGACATTATCATAGCTCACTGCAACCTCAAACTCCTGGGTTCAAGCAGTCCTCCTTGTTCAGCCTCCTGAATAGCTGGGACTATAGGTGAGCACCATCTGCCCAGCTAGTTTTTCGATTTTTCATAGACAAGACTTCACTTTTCCCCAGGCTGGTCTCAAACTCCTGTCCTCAAGTGATCCTCCCACCTTGGCCCCTAAGAGTGCTCAGATTACATACTCAGCCTGTAGTTTTGTTGTTGTTGTGTCCTTTGCTGCCTTTGGTATCAAGGTAATACTGGCTTCATAGAAAGAATTAGGGAGTATTCCCTTCTTCTCAATGTTATGGAATAAATTCTATAGGATGGGTACCAATACTTCTTTATAGGTCGGATAGAATAAAGCTGTGAACCTATGTAGTCTAGGGCATTTTTTTGTTGGGAGGCTTATTACTCTTTTAATCTTGCTGATAGTATTAGTCTGTTCATTATTTCTATTTTTCCTGATTCGAGTTTAAATAACAGGTTGTGTGTTTCTAGAAATTTATTTCCTGTCCATTTTCTATTTATGATCAGAGAAATTTTTCTAATAATAGTATTCATGGATGATATTTTATACATCTGTGATATCTGTTGTAATGTCTCCTTTTCCATTTTTGGTTGAGGTTATTTGAGTCCTTTCTCTTCTATTTTTGGTTAATCTGGCTGGTGGTCTATCAATTTTGTTTATCTTTTCAAAGAATGAACTTTTGTTTCATTGATTCTTTGTTTGATTTCTATTTTGTTTAGCTCTGCTCTGAACTTTGTTATTTATTATGCTGGCTTGAGATGCTATACTAGACTATTAATTTGTAATCTTTCTTTTTGACATAAGCATTTAAGGTTATGAATTTTCCCTTTAGTACTTCTTTTGCTGTATCCCATAGATTTTGAAAGCTTGCATCCCCTTTTTCTCAATCTTAATTTCATCATTGATCCAAGGATAGTTCAGCAACACATTGTTTAATTTCCATGACTTTGTGTAGATTTCAGAATTCTTTTGGAATTTATTTCTAGTTTTATTCCACTGTGGTCTGAAAAAATGGCACAATTTCAATTTTTCAGAATTTGCTAAGACTTGTATTGTGGTCTAAGATAATAGCTCTTGGAAAATGTCTCATGTGCTGATGAGAAAAATATATTTTTTGTAGTTGGGGGGCAGAGGGTTGTACAGATGTCTTGCTAGGTCCATTTGTTTTGGAGTCTCATTTAGGTCAAGTATTTCTTTATTGATTTTCTACTTCGATCATCTGTCCAGACTTGTCAGTGAGGCGTTGAAGCCCCCAGCAATTATGATGCTACTGTTCATTTCTTTGCTTAGATGTAGTATATTGCTTTATGAATTTGGGAGCTCCTATATTAAGTGCATGTATATTTGGGTTTATTATGTTTTCTTGCTGAATTGCTTCCTTTAACATTATATAATGAACACCTTTGTCTTTTTTTTACCATTGTTAATTTAAAGTCAACTTTATCTGATACAAGAATGGCTACACCTGCTTGCTTTTGGTTTACATTTGCATGGACTTTTTTTCCATCCCTTTACCTTCTGTGTGAGTCCTTGTGAGTTGGATGTGTTTCTTAGAGAAGACATGCAGTTCAGACAGTCTATGTCTTTTAAGGAGAACATTTAGATCATTCACATTCAGTGTTAGTATTGATATGTAGGACTCTCTTCTGTTCATTATGTTAAATGATACACATACTTTGTTGTGTGCATGTGTGTGTGTTTTTTTAAGACAGTCTCACTCTGTCACCCTTGGTAGAGTACTGTGACATCACAGCTCACAGCAACCTCAAACTCTTGGGCTGAAGCAATTCTCTTGCCTCAGCCTCCCAAGCCGCTGGGACTAGAGGCACCCACCACAACACCCAGCTATTTTTTGTTGTAGTTGTCAATGTTGTTTAGCAGGCCTGGGCCAGGTTCAAACCCGCCACCCACAGTGTATGTGGCTAGCACCCTAACCACTGAGCTCCACGGGGGCTGCGCCCTTGTTTTCCCTCTTGTGCTACTATTTTATAAGAGCTGTGAGCTTTAACTTTTGGGTATTTTTACACTGGTGGGTATCCACTGTTCTGTTCCATGTATGGTGTACTTTTAAGCATTTCCTATAGGAAAAGTCTAGTGGTGGCAAATTCTCTTAGAGTTAGTCTGTCTTAAAGTCTTTATTTCTCCATTAGTGATAAAACTTAGTTTTGCACCATACAAAATTCTTGACTTGGAGTTGAGGGACTTGTAACTTTTTTTTTTTTTGAGACGGAGCCTCAAGCTATCCCCCTGGGTACAGTGCCATGGCATCACACTCACAGCAACCTCCAACTCCTGGGCTCAAGCGAGTCTCCTGCCTCAGCCTCCCAAGTAGCTGGGACCACAGGCGCCCGCCACAATGCCTGGCCATTTTTTTGGTTGCAGCCATCATTGTTGTTTGGCGGGCTGGGCTGGGGATTCGAACCCGCCACCTTAGGTGTATGAGGCTGGCGCCTTAGCCGCTTGAGCCACAGTGGCCGAGCTGACTTGTAACTTTCTAAAGCAATAAAAGTGATTCTCTTATCTTTGATAATGTAAATTTGATACATAAAAAGAATATTTGCAAGATATGTTAGTTATGAAATGTGATAACAAATCAAACAACTGTGAGTCCACAATCTAATTAAAGAACATTATTATACCATTTCATCTGCTTCTGTGCTTTTCCCATCCTGTTTTCCTGCTTACGCCACAGACAGACATTACTAATGTTTTAAATTTACCAATCTCTTGCTTTTAATATATATAAATTTATGGAGAATAAGCAAATTATGTTTTTGAGCTTTCTAAATTTGGTATGCAATAGCAATCTAAGACTTGCTTTTTTTATTTAATATTACATTTCTAAGAATCATTGGTATTGGTATAGGTCATTTTCACTGGTGTATGTTTTTCCATTATATGCTACATACCACTATTTATTTATACATTCTTTGTCTATTTTCCAAAACTTTTAGTTTTCACATCTGGAAATTATTACTGATTATAGTGTGAGATGAGGACCTAACTATTTTTGCCATTTGAATAATTATTTCAGTAGCATTTATTAAATGGTCCCTCTATCCCAATGATCTACAACTTCTCATATATGTTTTCATGTATGTGTATAAATATGTTTGGAAGTTCCTCATCATGTCCTATTGGTCAATTTCTTTATCTCTGTGCCATTCTCACACTGTTTTAATTACTGTAGCCTTACAAAGAGTGTTGATATCTAGTAGAGCAAATTCCCCACAACACCATACACATATACATCTACACACATGTTCTTCTTCAAGAGTGTTTTAGCTATTCTTAGCCTCTACTTATCCAGACAAATATTAGAATTAGATTATAAAAACTGTCCAAGTTTAATTACAATTGCTTGGCTCAGTGCCTATAGCACAGTGGTTACCGCACCAGCCACATACACCAAAGTTGACAGGTTCGAATGGGCCCGGCCAGCTAAACAACAATGACAACTGCAACAAAAAATAGCCGGGCACTGTGGCAGGTACCTGTAGTCCCAGTTACATGGGAGACTGAGGCAAGAGAATCCCTTAAGCCCAAGAGTTGGAAGTTGCTATGAGCTGTGATGCCACAGCATTCTACTGAGGGCAACATAGTGAGACTCTGTTGTGAAAAATAAGAATAATAATAATTAGAATTGCTTTAGATACATTAATTATAGCATTGACAATCTTGGGTCTCTGAACCCACTGACATGGAATACGGTCCCATTTATCTTGAGCTTTTTTTTTTTGTCCCCCCGGTAGAGTGCCATGGCATCACAGCTCACAGCAACCTCCAACTCCTGGGTTCAAGCGAGTCTCCTGCCTCAGCCTCCCAAGTAGCTGGGACCACAGGTGCCTGCCAAAATGCCTGGCTATTATTTTGGCTGCAGCCATTATTGTTTGGCAGGCCTGGGCTGGATTCGAACCCGCCACCTTAGGTGTATGTGGCTGGCACCTTAGCCACTTGAGCCACAGGCGCAAAGCCTATCTAGGTTTTCTTAATGTGTTAACAAAGTCTTATCATTTTCTCCACGTAGGTTTTATACAACTTGAATTTATTCCCTTTTTTATTTATTATAAAAAATATATACAAAATAGAAGGAATATTGTAATGAATAATCAACAATATCCCCAACATCAACAATTACCAACTGATGAACATTCTTTTTTTTCGCAGTTTTTGGCCAGGCCTAGGTTTGAACCCACCACCTCCGGCATATGGAGGCAGCGCCTTACTCCTTTGAACCACAGGCACTGCCCTGATGAACATTCTTGTTTCACCCATAATTCTATTCAGTTGCCTATCTCACTTCCATCTTTTCCCTTTAGGAAAATTGCTGCTAGGTTATAAGGGCATAGATACTCCAAATTGGTATAACTTTATTGTGAAGTGTGGGCTTTGATATAAAAAATAATTCTTTGCTGCATTTACCTTCTGTCTTAATATCTACCTTCTCAGATAGTAAGATTACAAAATCTATGCTTTTTTGTTGTTTCCATTTTTGCCTATGTCTGAAAAGACTATTAGTACTGGTTATTTCTAGTTAATGGGCTTTTGAGCATCTTGTTGTTCTTGAGTATTTTTGTGCTTTTCAGTGTTGGTTTAAATTTAATCAACTTTTTTCTAATAAAAACAATAAAATAATTATTCTGAGGGAAAAAATAGCAAACTAAGCCTTCTTCCAAAAGTGTCAGCCTAGTTTGCCTAAAAATGTATCACTTACCATCTGCAATCTTCTCAAATTCTTTCTTAGAAAGGTAAATTCCAAAATTTTGAAGACAAGTATTTAGATCCTCACAATCAACATTTTCATCTTTAATTTTGTCAGTGGCTTTAATAACATCAGATAACACTAAAAATAAAGTAGTATGTTAATAATCATTAAATATAAGTCAAAAACAAAACACCAGTAATGAGATGAATTTTAGTTCTAACACTAAATTAGCAAAAATACAAATCACATCCAGTTTCTGCCACTTTCACATTGTATGAACTGCAGGTAGCCATTTCATCATTTTGGAATTCAATTCCTTTTAGGGCTGCTATGAGGATAATGTACTTACAGTGTCACAAAGAAAACTACCTCAATAAATATGTATTAGTGAAAATTCTTAGCAGCATTGCTTTTAACAGGTCATGTGAGGAAGATGTGAGCCCAGACATACATCAATCTGTGGTCTACACCCTACCAACAGCAGATGCTTTAACCAAACCAATTAACAACCTGTTTTTGACCAATGATTTATGGCTTATGTTTCCCTGTTAATAAAATTTAATTGCCAAGCCTGTGATGTAGCATGGTGGCAAAACAAACTGCCATATGAAAATTACTACCTGGGTCCCATAAGTAAAGCTGCGACCACAGGCTGGAATGTCTTATGATCAGAGTTAGATAACACCAGGCCTCCCTCTAAAAAGCTTTTTCTGTCCAAAAAAGGTACTCCTTGCCAGTATACTCTTCTCCATAAAAATTAACACTGTAACAGGATGCCAAATGGCCTCAGCTAATATTTTTAAATGAGGGCTAAATTTTATTTGTAAGCATCAGTGTCAGGACTAAGATAACATTTTTGTGGATACTGTGGGTATAAACAGCAGTGCTGAGTCAAATAAGGCTGCCAGTGAATTGACTTGTTTCCCCTGGATGTGGCTGCTTTAGACATCAGGGGACCAGAGTGTGGGCTCAGGTCATGCCTGGTGCCTCTTCAGTTTTGTGACATTGGGAACAAAGTAACTAAAAACAAAAATAGAAACAAACACCCCCTTTCAGTCTTATTACCTGGAAAATGGGGATAATAATAAAACCTCATACAGAAAAAAATGAACATCATTGTGCCTCCTTAATAGTTATATTTCTTTTTAAATTGAGTTACTTGAATTATGCATTAGTGTATGAATCACTAATTTTTCACTAAGCACTCATTTTAACTATTACATTCAATACTAAATCTAATACAAAGGTTAAGTTTCTCTGAAGAGAATAGATATGATTTAAGTAACTTCAGCAGAGGACTACAGGAAGGAGTATTTAATTAAGTTCCATATATAGCACAGAAGGGGAAAATCATATATTGGTTAAGAAGCCATTGCTTGGGCAGTGCCTGTGGCTCAAGTAGTAGGGCACCGGCCTCATATACCGGGGTGGCGGGTTTAAGCCCAGCCCTGGCCAAAAAAAAAAAAAACCATTGTTCATCTTAAGAAAGAGATGTATACAGTGTTCTTTTTTTTTATATTCTCTATCCATAAGAGATAATACCTGAAGTACTCTTGAGTATTACCTATTTAAATTATGAAACTCTAGGCAAAAATTTCACATAGACATCCTACCTACTTGTTTAAATGAATTATAAAATAAATAATTCCAAAAGAAAGCAGACCTTCTACTTTCTAGGGAACCTGAATGACTCCAATTAATCACTGAATAAGCTTCTCAGAAAAAGTTACACTCACCCAAAAGGGACCATCTAGAAAGGAATTACCATCAAAACCACAGTATTTATCCATTGGCCTATGTTATCAGATGTGGTGATTACCCAGGACATTGGCAATTGAAATGCTTATAACCATTAAATAAATGATTCATTTATAAAAAAAATCAGCTTATACTTTAATCTCAGCTCAAAATCACTTCCTCAAGGATGTCACCCTTGAATTTGGACATTATAGCAGGTTTTCTATTATAAAAATAAATAAATAAATGGTTCATTCTGCCATTTCTATGATGAGTTAAGAACTCAAGAACTTGGGTTCCAACTTACATATATGATACTGACCCAGAGTATTAATTGCAGTTTTTTCCTTAGGTGAAACCTGTTTTAGGAGGCTGGAATGCCTTCTCACAGCTGGTTTCTGAAATTCTGAGATACCAGAAATATCACTGTTATCCAGAGACTTATTGACACTTGTTATACTCTTCAAGTTTTGTGGTTTAGACTTTGAGTCATGAATTTCACCTTTATCTGAATGTTTTTTAATGTTTACGCCATTCTTTGAATATGGTTCTTGGAATCCTACATCAATACTTTTGGTCCCATCCAGGAATTCTCTTTCTTGCAAAGTACTTTTTGGTCTTTTAAATTCCAGGTCATCATTCTTCTCTATAATTTTGCTATAATATTGGTGGCACTCTTTATTTAATTTTCTGGATATGGAAGGTTCAGAGGGTCGGGGAAAAAAACTGTTTTTCTTCTTACATTGTACATAGCATTCTGCTATATTTGATAATTTTCTGCCTGAAGTAGTTTCATCTGAGGCTGACCCTTCCATAATTGCTATGTAAAAGAAACACATTTAGTTATTTCATTAACAGATACAATGACTCAAGAATAACAACTAAATCTACATGAAAGCTATTGAAGAAATTACCAGTTGCTGAAACATATAAAACAAACATGAAAAGCAGAGAGAGGGAAAGTGGGAGAGGGTGGGGGTCACAGTGTGTGACACACCTTTTGGGGGCAGGACACAGTTATAAAAGGGACTTTACCTAACAAATGCAATCAACGTAATCTGGTTCTTTGTACCTTCAATGAATCCCCAACAATTTAAAAAAAAAAAAACCATAAGAATCAACAGAGTGGATGAACAAAAGATTGAACTATTTGCTAAGTCAAATATAATCTTCTGGTTTAATATATTTAAAGCTATTTAAAGTTACACTGAAACTAAAATAATAGCCTAAAGAAGCACATAAGGTTCATTCCATACTTCTCAATTTAGGAAGATAATAGACTAATAAGCTAATACAGATATAAATTCCTTAGTTATAAAAGTATAGAACTATAAGGAAGTTGCAAAAGGGAAAATTTTACTTACAGAATTAGAATCCAAACAATTACTCTTCTAAACATTCTCAGTAATTGGGGGAAAAACATAACTTCATATATAAAATTATATTTTTAGAAATGTCCCAGATATTTCACTTACAAAGTTCACCTGATGGTTCAGAATATTATCTTACATTTAAATAAAGTATGTCAAAGTTATAACGCTTGATTCTCAAAACAACTCTAAGAGATTATCAACTTCCATAGCTCTCAAAGAAAAAAAATGAGACTCCAACAGAGTAGCAGGACAATCTCAACTATGCAGACTGTCTCAAATATGGATTTTATTTAAAGAAAAGAAAAAGTTATCTTATTCTGTATGACAATGGACAATTGAAGGAAAATAATTTGATTTTAAAATTTGGAATTTTTTAAGATGGTATGGATCTCTACATGCTACTTAGCAGAGAAATAAGCTAGTGAATGAGTAAAAATAAAATCTTTGACACTTTCTTCAGCTTTTGGTTTTTGTTGGTTTTTTTGTTTGTTTTCTTTTTTTGGAGACAGAGTCTCACTTTGTCACCATTGGTAAAGTGCCATGACATCATAGCTCACAGCACCCTCAAACTCTTAGGCTCAAGTGATTCTCTTGCCTCAGCCTCCCAAGTATCTGGGACTACAGGTGTCGCCACAATGCCCAGCTATTTTTAGAGATGAGGTCTCACTCCAGCTCAGGCTGGTCTCAAATCTGTGAGCTCAGGCAATCCACCCACCTTAGCCTCCCAGAGTACTAGGATTACAAGGCTGAGCCATTATACCTGCCCCCTACTTTCAGCTTTTGGACCATGCCAAATGGCCTGTCCAGAATCTCTGGATGAGCTGA